TATCAAGCTGGCAATTCCAATGTCCCATCCGGTTATCGATGGGAGATACCTTTGTCCCATTCCGATGCACCCCACTCAATGCAGCTTGGAATACAATGTCCCATCCGGTTGCTGATGGGACAAATGTTGGTGTAGAAGAGTTGACGGAGAGTGCGCATGACAAGGGTGGAGGACCACATCACTCCTTGGCGCCTCTCAGCACATACAGATCGCATGTGAAGATGATTGCAGCAGAACGTGTGTGACTGTGGCCATGACAGCCGGCCACGTCATTGGACCCATCCTGCAGGTTTGCCACGTGTTGTACCGCAAATATACGGTATATATGACCGTAATTACGATAAGAACTAGATAATGCGGTCATTCGCCTTTCCGAAACGGCGAGAGTTACCAGAATGGTCGAGGTCGACGACGACTACCAGCGGGCCCTCCGACGCGTGCGGCTGCGCAGTGCGTACCACCGAACGGGATGGTGTTCCATGCCCAACATCGTGGTTAACAGCCGCCGCGTTCTCGTGACGCCGACGAGCACTGGCGGCATGGCACCAGGCGTTGTCCAGGCCCGGAACGTCCAGGTCGACGCGACATGGGAGGCCAACCTCGAGCGCGCTGTGGCTCCTCTCGTGGCGCACGCCAGTGGCGGCTTTCGTATCTCGCTCGCTCATCTCGTCATCACAGCGCCGCATGCGCCGCTACTCACGAAGAAGCTCGCGGGCCGCGCCGGCAGCTTTGGCACGCTCGTGGTGCTTCTCGCCAGTACCGAGCCTGCGACACAGCGATGGACAGTCCACTCGCTCGGTAAGACGCTGCAGTGGGCTGCGCGCCCTTTGCAGTGGTGCGCGTTCTACGGCCTTGTCAAGCCGGGCGCACCGAGTCTTGGACGCTGCGTCTCATTGATTTATTACCTCATGGCGCCGCTGCCCCGACCGGCGCCCATCGATAACAAGGACGCCATCAAAATGTTCAAGGCGCTTGCGCAGGGCCACGTCGATGACGATCCATGCATTATGTACGTGCGTGCAGGCGCGGGCTTCTCGGTCGAGGACAACGAGCTTATCGAGGTGCTTTTGGCCACCCATCAATTTGACGTTGCGCACGCCACCGGCTTTGGTACCCCGGGCGGCTTCACGCTGACGCGCGTCACTTGTCATGGGCGACTGATTCTGCCGCGAATTCTGCTCGACTGCCTTGAGGGCCGCATCGTGTGCCTCTGGTTCGGATCCGAGACCTCCCAGCCGTCACCAACCTCTATCATCGTGTGGCCGCGCAAGGCGCGCCTGCGTCTTTTGAGCATCAACAGCGTGCTGGACGCTATGACGACCAAATGCGGCCAGCGCCAGTTGCAAGCGTGCGCCACGGGCAAATTTACCGGAGAAGTCGACGTATCACGTCTCGTCGACAGAATCATGCACTGCATCCACGTCACGCCGATGGTGCACTCGTCGCTCGCGCGCATTTTGGTGGCCAACCCGCACGAGACGACCTTGTGCGCTTTTCTCGCCCAGCATTTTGTGCCCCAGAAGGACGCGGGCCGCATCGTGACGAAGATGCTGCGCGTGTACGATGTCTACGGCTGGCTCACGCTTGGCACGTCCATTTTGGCGATGGTGCAGCGCTGCCATGCGCAGCTCGAGCACGTGGTCGCGATGCTGCATGACCTCTCGTGTCTCTCGGTGCGCCATCTCTTTGGCCACGCCGAGTACTTGAAGGCAGCGTACA